TTCCGATCACAGTCCGCATTGCTGTGTCTCCTCCTCTTCCTTGTCCTGGTAAGCGCAGAATCAACCCCAACATATTACTTTTCAAGATGAAAATCTTAAAAGTCAGAAATTCAATGTTCTCCAACTGCGCTGTCAAAAAAAAGGGCTCTTCAGTCTATTTAAAAATCTTGACTTTTAAAAACTATTTTTAATTTCAGTTAAAATCATCATATGTTAACATTTTCCCTTTCCCTATGCTTTTGATTCGGACTCAAAAGATAATTTCATATCTTACTGTAATTTTTTTCCAGAAAAGCAAGTATCTTCCCTGTTGTTCCGCAAAAGCTTTATGCCACAATAATTTAAGATTTCCTCCAGGTTAGAATATTTCTACACGTGAAACCTCTTTGAAGGTTTAAATAGACTGTAGCTGAGGTTTGACATGTATTAGCACGTATCAGGTACAGCAGTTATTACGGGTCGTGGAGACAAGACGCATTCCATCTCCCCAGTGACTGACTCGCAGGTGTCCAGATCACTACAGGCCACAGGCAGGCAAAGCCACTAAAAAAAAAATCACCCTTTGTTTTAACAAGCATTAAAAACTCCCTCTACCAACCATTTCAGCAATAGCTCCAGTGAATGGTCAGGTGAGAAATAAACTCGAGTTGCTGTCTTACAAAAGCATGTCCCAAGGTTGTGACTGGGAAAATTGCCTTTTTGTTCCTTTTGATGTAAATCTTTTCTGCCTCTGTTGTAAGGTTCTGCATCTGCCCAAAACACATTTTTAAATTATATTGAAGCATACATTTTCACAGCATGATGTGCATTAGTTAAATAGGAGTTACTGAGTTCTGTCCTGTTCCTCTTCTCTGTATGAGCTCAATCTGTCTGCATCCAAACAATTCAAAGAGAGAAATTGTTTGCCAAACTGATAGATTTTTTTAATCCTTCAATTCCTTTCATTCATATCTGAGGAATTGACTGAAATTGTCACCTCTCCAGTCGCAGAACGAGAAGAGTGTGCCATGCGAAAGGAAATGCTCAGGACTCGGTGCTCTTGAAGGCGTAAGAGGTTTAAGCAAAGCCCCCTGACTTTCGACTCTTCTCTTCCCAGGGCACAGCGTCTGTTCTGCAGCGCAGGTCTGACAACGAGGAGTACATCGAAGTTGGGAGACTTGGTCCGTCAGATTATTTTGGTAAAAAAATTCAGCTTAAATATGGTCCAGAAAGACAGAGGCATGGTGTTGTATCAAGTAATTATTGTCTTAATTAGCGTCCTACTCTTTTACAAACGAGAGGTTATGCGTAGGTCAGCTGCTGCGTTCAGCAGTTCGGAGAGACTTCAGTGAAGCTGAAACCGTTCCTTGGTTTACACCAGTGTAGCTGACAGGAGACAGATCCAGAATCAGCAAAACAGTCTGAAAGCATTTGTTTTCAAAGGCATTTTACACGCATGCATTATGCATGTGTAATGCATTTATACTGTCAACAGAATTATGTAAAGTGTCTATCAAGAGATATATAAAGGGAGATGTTCTACAACCAAAGCAACTCAATGGTGGCTAGAAAATGCACCCTCCAAAAAAAGAGGCAGAGGATAAGTGACAGTGTATTTATCCCTGTTTCCAGGTGAGATAGCGTTACTGCTCAACCGGCCCCGAGCTGCTACGGTGGTGGCACGCGGACCCCTGAAGTGCGTGAAGCTGGATCGGCCCCGCTTTGAACGAGTGCTTGGTCCTTGCTCCGAAATCCTCAAGAGGAACATCCAGAGATACAACAGTTTCATTTCACTCACCGTCTAAATGATTCCTTCTGAAAGCTGCCTTTGTGTGACCTTGTGCACTTAAATTTGCTCTGTGCAGCTCCGTAGCTTTATGAGGAAGAAAATAAGAGGTGTGTGTTTTATGTGTATTTTTTTCTGTTTATGTCACATACTGGATGTCAGTTCAAATCTCATGTATCATGTAAGTAGGAAGACAACTGTTTGGATAAGACTAGCTTTGGGGAAAATTAGGATTTTGGCTTGCAGGCAAGATTTTTACGTACTGGTGGATCATAAAGCTTAAAACTGTGTTTTTAACTATTTAAAATCCATATGAATTTCTCTTTCTTTTTTCTTTAAAGTAGGTTTTATTCAGTTTTTGTCAAGCTGCTTTGATCAAGCAATGTCCCTCTGCCTGTCACTTTTAAAAGACTTTTCAGTGGTTGTGGACTGGAGGTTGCCCAAAAGCCACGAGGTGAGCGGCAGTGCCGCAGTTTGAAAGGGAAGGCTGGAGGAAGGTTTTGATCATTCCAGCAAGCCAGGGAAAAGCAGAGCTTTTGGGTCATTTTGTTTGTGGCTTAGATGTAGGGGCCATACTCCTCGGCGTTACAAGCCTTTTCAGGTCTGCTTTGTAGGAAATGCTACAACAGCCTGCTCCGGTCTCCTGGGTGAAGAGGTCAAGGAACAAAGTTTTGTAAGAGGTCAAACGGAGCCTTTAGGACCTACGTTATTTGTTCTCAGCTTGTTTGAAATGAGGGTTTGCATTAGAGCCCTTAAAAGCCCAATGGGAACTTCTCTGCTGAGTTAAGTGGGCTTCGAAACATGTTTATCCATAGCAGAGTGTCCTCAGCCACTTCTCTGAATATTATATTAAATGCTGAAGAGATGGTGCCTGGTGTACATCAGAGGCAACAACAACAGTTAATTTTTAATAACATCCACTTAATTAAATTCAAATGCCTTTCTTTTAGTATATGACTAAATTTTAGGACTTTTAGGATTTTTGGAAAGCCAGATACATGCATCAAAATGATATTGATGATGAAAAGCATCAGGATCTTGAAAGGAGCTCCTGGAGCCCAGGTCCCTCCAGTTGCTGCCCTGCCTGGACATGGATGTCCTCTTGGAAGGAGCTTTTTGAAGATCCAGACCTTGCTCTGCTGCGCAGCCCTTAAGGATGGGATAATTTAGATTATTCTTTGTGAAGCTTCTCCTTTGAAGGAAAACTCGTCTTTGCTAACAGCAGCAAAGGTCTGCATCTCAGCTACCCTAAATAGCACTGGCTGCTCTTCAGTTGTGGCAAAACTCTAATTCTTCTTTATGGTAACATTCTCCTGAGTAAATACCATTTTTCCATACCTTTTGCTTGCCAAAGGTTATGCAATTAGATAAGGCAGCAATCTCCATTTGAAACTAGAGGTGTTAGTGAAGAATATAGCTAAAATTTCTCCTACTAACACACAACGTGCTTTCCTCTTCAGAATGAACAAAAACTCACAGGACTTTCCTATAAACTCCCACCAAGAGGGCCCAATATTCCAGTAGCCCACAGTGGTTTTTATGGAGCTAACTGCTTTTTGGCTTCACACTCCTCTCATCACTTTGAGGTGCTTAATTTACTTCAGCATATTTTCAGTGGTCCTGTCAGTGCATATTCATTGCTACTATTTATTATGATTATGTTATGCTTCTTGCAGGTGTTCTTAAATATGACCATTCACATTTTTCAACCTTGCAGTTTTTATCATGTACATTTATATAAGCAGACCCTCATTATATATATATATATATAGATAAATGTGTATGCATTTGCAAAACTTTTGATTTGCTTCACTGTTTTTGTATTCTCTTGTGCAGTTTTTAAAAGAAGCGTTTTTTAAAGGTTACCAGTCACTCATGTATGTTGGTTTACCTATTGCATTTCTGTTGTATTGGTGAAAAATTGTGAGTGTTTCGCATAATATGCAAGATACATTTCTTGTTAAATACCAAGTATTAGCCTCATCGTTTAGAATTTACTTGAGCACACACACAACACACAGATTCTTTGCTTTAAACCTTTACAGCTCATGGAAAATACATTTGAATTATGGTTCTGTTATAAGCAATCTCAAGAGACGTGTAACCATTTAACACCAGAATTCCTATGCTTTAAGTGGAACAAAATGATATTCAATGACATTTTAAAGATAATTGTGATATTTGCAGTGGATGATGGGACAGGATTATGGTATGAATAAAACTCTTCTACGTTATATTTGGCCGTTGTGGGTTTATTAATAATGGAAGTCTGTAGGAATAGAAGTCATGTTCTAGTTAAAATCTGCATATCATAAAAAGCTTGAACTCTACTGAAAATAATCAGATGCAAAGGGACAAAAAATAGACCAAGAATCCCAGTGCTATATATAGTAATGGAAACCAAACTGGTTTTCTGGAGGATTAGCATGAAGAAAAAAATTTCTTCTGTTTAAATGTAACCATATATGTCTACATGAACAGGCAGAGGTTCAAGGTGTCTCTTGGACCTTCATGGTGTTGTTTTGATGCCGGTTTGGCCAGGCAATTAAGCACATGTGGACCATGAAGTGTGTGAGGGACCCTGTGTGGAGCTCTAAAACCCCCAAGACTACTGCTGAGTGTTGTATGGCCAGCGGGAATGCCTGGGGAAGAACAGGCTCTTTCCTCCTCAAATAGCGGTACCACAGACAAAGCCCATGGCCCCAACCACACTGGGGATATGTCCCAGTGGTTCCTCTCAACTTCTGGCCATGCAGGGATTTTCAGAAGTGCAGCTGCCCTGGGACTGAAGCACAGAGCCACTTTTGGCACTGGAGATGCACTGTGCTGCTGCCATGCCTTGTGTTCATGCAATGGGATGGCCAAGAGCTGCTTTTGAGGACAAACTGCTCAGAGAAGGCAGAGCCTCCAAAGGAACCACCTGCATCAAGGTAAGTGCACGGGTGGAAGGACTGGAGAGCATGGCCTCTGGGCAAGGAAGCATGTTTAGCATGTTGGCAGTGCCACACTACCTGATACCCACCAGAGCTCAGGGTGACCACCTAAGTAGCTATGGCGTGGTCCAAGATTGGCTCTGGTGCTGGAGCAACGTGCAGGGCAGTGGACTCACCCCATGCAGCTTCTCTGCAGTGGCCCCCACACAGGAACCTTGGGCGGCTCCCGGCATCCAAGGGCTGTCCAGCTTTCCATTTTTGGAGTGTTATTTTTCCCCCCTTCGCTATGATTCAGGCGGGAAGGACTCATCTTTCCAGAAGATTACTCACTTCATGTAGTAATCAAAAGTGACCACTCTCTCTGAGGTGCTTCCAGAAGGACATTGCCAGCCCACGCTCCCCAGAAAAGAGCATCTCACCACTCCTCATTGTCATTCTTTTTTCGGTCAGTGTTTTAATTGTATCGCAGCCATTTCGGGACTCCCAAGACAAAAGAAAAGACTTCTTTTTTAATAGAAACTCATTGCACCTCAAGGATTTTACCAGGCCCGTGTGGCTGACCAGGCTGCAGTGTGTGTATCATTACCATGAGCTCTCTTAAGCATTCCCACTGCTCCGTGGCAATGGGTGTCTACAGCCGTGGAGCCACATGAACCCTGTGAAGCCTTGATCCTCAAGCCAGCATGGTCTGACACCACGTTACCTGCTCAGATGTTGGTGGAAAACAAGAGCTTTTGCAGAGAACCAGGTGATGCCAGTGCACACTAGTTTGGTTGTTGGCCGCTAGTTTGTTTTCCTTGTCCTAAGTGGTGTTCAGAAGCGGAGTCACTATGGTGAAGGGTGATGTTTCTCCTGCTGTGAAGGTTGCACAAGGTGTGTGTGTTGCATTAAGTTTTAAGTCCTAAATGGTGCATAAATTCTTCCACTGACCTATTTTATGGAAGAGTTCGTGTTTGCTCCTTGTGCACATTTCTGTGTAGCAGCCAGGAGAGAGAATATTGTGCAGAGGCACAACCATGATGGTCTCCTTAAGGAGAGGCAGAGATCCTATTGCCTGCTCTTCACAGCCATGCCACGTGAATCCACAGTCACTGAGACACAGTGGTGTCCCCAGAGGACATTGCAGGTGGATGAGAGTGAGCAGAGTAGGGAGACAGAGTAGGTGGTGTGGCACCATCAACCCAGTGAGCACTAACCAGTTTAAACCAGTTGATATTTCAAAGACCCACTCACCAGCTAGAGACCAAATTATCTGCTCTTACCTCTCCAAGGCAGGCTTTTTAAATATGTTTCTAATGCTTTGGCAGCTCTGACTAGAGCTCATTTTCGCCTTCTTCAAATGTACATGACTGCTCAGGAACTCCTGATAGAGTTTCCACAGCCAGAGTCACCTCTGTAGGTCCCACTTCCCTCTGGAGAAGATGAACGTCTTTGGATATGAGCATGTGCACAGCCTTGAGGATCCGATGTGATGGGAATGCATTGGCTTGGATGCTCCTCCTCCTCCGAGGGTTTCTCCCTGGCTCTGCTGCTCAGCAGGGTTTGATTTGGGATGCAGCACTCGCACAACAAGCTGGCCTTTTCTTCAAAAATGCTGCCTGGCCAGAGGAGCTGGCATCTGCAGCCATCTGGTATTTTAGCGAAGGCTGAGGATGTTTTTTGTGCTTCATCAGGCTCCAATTCCAGAGCGATTCTTCTGACGTCTAAAAATCTGGATTCAACTTGTAGAAAAGAGGCTGCGCTTTGCCTGGGAAAGCAAAACAAAGTCTCCCTGGGCAAACTCTGACTTGCAGCTCAGAAGTGCATGGGTAACATTTCTCTGAGTGCTCCAGCCCCCGCCCCAGCCGTGTTTTAATCCTTGTTTTCAAGTCACTCTGCAAAAGTATTGCAGAGAGCCTCCACTGCCCGGACAAGCTGCAACACACGTCCCCTCCTCTGGTGCTTAGGCAATGTTAAATGTGCAGAGTTCTCTTTAAAAAAGACGTCAGCTTTCATGGAGGAAAGAAATCATCATTTTACCCAAGAAGACGGCTCCTATTCCAGTATAAACTGTCTCCAAACATGGAACAGCGGCGTGCCATGTTGCTGCAAGGGCCAGCAGCGCTGAATGAATTGGCAGATTCTGTGCTGCTGCGTGAACTCTGGTAGCTGGGCTGCGAGAGGGCTGCTCCTCTCTACTCACAGCTTTGGGTCAAAGCCGAAAGAGTTGATTTGCCAAAAAAGTGCCCCTTACCCAAGCCCTGATGGGATAAATTGACCCTTGAGCTGCCAGGACCCACCGGGAGTGTTCACCTTACCCTTGGTGGGTGCCAACAGCCCTGCTCTTTGCAAGGGCTGGTGGCTGGGGACAGGACGTATGGACCAATGATGAGGTAGGGATTTTCTCACCACTGCCTGCAGTTCCTGGCGCTCTGGATGTTCATGCTGCTGGCT